TCCTGTTGCCCGGTTGATTCCATTCGCACTTTGTTGTATATGCTGTATATTTTGACTTTGAATTGATGAAATGCTAACTAGCAGATGACACGCGTTGTATGCAGCGATTGGTGGTTCGGTGGTTTGTCCACCAGCTAGTAATGTAGCGCCATTCACCATCGTTTAGAGACAAATCTACATTGATGTCAGGGAATATCTTACCACGGCTGCAGGCAGCACAAGTGGATTGGAAACACCACTTGCTGTTACACCGACCCTTACGGATCCACAGAACAATCTCGGTGTAATATAACTGGAGGGGTAAGCCACGGAATCTCGCTGTGAGAGCTGGTAATATTGATCCGACGGAGGGTGCGATGCCACCCCATCGGTTGCCCGTCCGGCTAAGCATACGAAGCACATCGAAGCTCAATGCCATGCGCTGGGCGCCTAGTAATTCGGAACTGACACGACGAAACCAAGCCGATGGCAGATTCAGAGTGACTATAACGCATCGTAGAGCGAATGCCGTGTTATATGTCTGAACCCTTGATGGGTCGTGATGTCGCCGCCCAGCAGTGGGTCGCTGCGTGGACGACGAAGTGATTATGGAAAATGCTGTCTATTGGAAATCGGTAATACGTGTGATATTGAGGGAATTTTAACGACGCAACGGTCCTTCCGGCGAGTAGATGAGAAGACGGCCACGAGACTGGTGGTGAGAGACGACTGGGATTCCCCGCTTTCGACTCGGAGAAATCTCTATGCACGGGGCAGAACCGAACTGCCGGCGAATCAGAGTACGGGCGCATCAATGATGGCGGTGCTGCACCATGACTGGATGGGTGAATGGTACGTCGAGCCAAAGTGCAAGAATGTGGTTGGTGTTCATAGATGGCACTGCGAACTGGATTTCGCGCCCCTGTGCTCAACTCCCGAAATTAAGTCCGACACCAAAGGTTATGTAATCAACTGTGATTAGTCAAGAAGCTATAGCTCTGCGCTAGTTCTGTGATAGGCTCAGGAGTTCTCGGGACATTTTTGCGGGGCGTCTGATTCATGAGACAATGCGTTGGGATCATTGATCCACCGACAGCACCTGCCACGCCCATCATCGCACGTCATAGTTACCATCCATCATTCACCATGTCCGCTCCGGGTGCCGAGTGGATCAGCGATAGGTCTCGCGATAATTCTCCAGAAGTTCTCAACTCCACAGAAGGTCAGGATGGCTCGTCTCAGCGACGCACCAGCAAAAAGCGCAAAGTGTTGTCGTGCTACGCGTGTCGCAACCGCAAAATGAAGTGTGATCGCGTGTTTCCAGTGTGTGGCCGATGCCAAAAGACTGGCAGAGGCCACGAGTGTACATACGATCCTCGGCTGCTTGAAGAGTCCCACTCTGACGCGGGCGCTGCATCGATTGCCCTCGCCGAGCGGCCAGCTGATAGCAACCCTTCCTCGGACTCGCCAGATGCATTGCAATGGAAGCTCAGAACCCAAGAGAGACGGATAGCGATGTTGGAGCACAAGCTTGCCACAAGGGACGACACCAGAAACCCCTCGCGATTCGAGGCCGTTGTCCCTGATGAGCCCGAGATCAAAGAAGAAATCATGTTCAGAGGCAAAGGTTTCAAATCTCACTTCAACGGCGCAACGAGTATTATGAGCATGATCTCTATGGTATATTTCACATGCCCAGACCCTGATGTCCGTGTACCAGCGGCTGACCATCATCAAGAATTACGAGCTGCAGGCATTTACACGGGAAGCCTTGACTGTTGACCACTCTATTATGCGCGTCAAAACTGACTTCAAAACCTTCCGCGACCAGAGGAAAAAGTCCGCAAAGGCCAAGATCGCCAGATATTCCGACATCGACCTGGAAGTCTTCGCTGTCCTCCCTGCGAAGAGTACGGTCGATGCACAAGTCGCTCTCTATTTTCAGACCTGGGAAACGAGCTACAGGATTCTACACGAGCCATCTTTCTGGAAAGAGTACCGCATATTCTGGGAATCAGATCAAGACAAAAAGAGCTCAGTCAGCTTTGCCGTCTTACTTCTCTTGCTTGTTGCCATCTCAAAGTGTCTCGCCCCAAAAGATGACGTCTTCATTGGCGACACGACTGCAGACCGGCAAGCAGCCCTTGAACTCATCGATATATGTGATGCCTGGATCGGCGAGCAGCCCCGCAAGCGGGTTACTTTGTCTTTCTTCCAATTACATTGCTTGTCGCTGCTTGCTAAGCGTGTCAATTGTGTCCGACTGAAGCAAGACTGGATAGCATCGGGAGACTTACTTCGACTCTCCATTACATCCGGTATGCATCGTGATCCGTGTCTGGTCGGGCATGGGAAAATCTCACCTTTCGATGAGCAAATGAAGAAGCGACTGTGGGTCACTGTCATGGAAATGGAGCTCCAATCTTCCATCGAGAGCGGGTTTCAATCTGGACTTACCGGACTGTACTTCGACACTCCTGCGCCTGCGAATCTTGCCGATGAAGCTTTCTCACCAGACACACAACACGTGCCGTTAGGTCAGCCCACTGAATACTTCACGTCAGCATCATACCTTGCAATGACTCTAAAATCACTTCCACTTCGTATTCATCTCACGCAGCTGCTGAATACACCTTCTAGTGTCCTCCGTTACACCGACGTACTGCACTACGATGCGCAGATCCGTTCTGCATTGGCGATCCTCCCCGTTTGGAATGACGATAGCGCGCTTGTGCCTTCTACGCTTCTTCGTTTGCAACTGCGTCAGTATCTTTTGTTGCTACATAAGCCGTACGCAAAACTGGCTCACACAAACGATCGCTATCTGCATTCTTTCACGACGTGCGTGGATACCTGCAGCTCGTTATTGGCAATGCACGATTGCCTGATATCGAGAGGTATCCTGGCACTTCACAACTTCCGGAACGATGTGATCAGGGTCGGTCTGGCACTTTCTCAAATCGTATACCACAATTGTGCTCGTCGAAAGATCAAATCGTTCACGTCCTATACAGCAGAGACTGAGACTCAGGATGTAGACCATCATACACATTTTGCGGATCTTACTCTTCCAAATCGTTCAGTTGGCCCAGACTCACGAATGGATTTGGACCTCGCGATATTGCCACAAGATCCCTTTCTTGCAAGAACACTGTGCACATCTTCAATCGATATCCTGGAACGTACGAGACAGATCTTCGAAGTCAAAGTCTTTCGACTTGGTACGGGATATATGGAGTGCTGGCTGTACGTACCATCGCAGAGCATTCATATGAGACATTTGCTAATCTTTTTTTGCTCTATCCGTATAGTATGTCTGCTGCAGTAGGCATGCTGCCCCCTCCTCCTTCGCCTGCCACTTCCATAGCATACATCAACAACGCAAGCGATGACATACTATCGAGATGCCGAAAAACTCTGGACTTATTCACAACGTTGGCTTTCAGGGTGCTAGCTCTACAGCAAGACCCCACTAACAGTTTAGCCTCTTCTCTTCGCTCTACTATGAGTACCACAAGAGAAACGGGATCTACGATTGGGAATGCCGAAAGTGCGGCTCCCACCTCGCTAGACAGGCTTGACATGAACCTTAATCTTGCCGATGGTGCTAAAGATATGAACGGGACCTTTGATGTGCTGCAGGATATGCAGGTCGATATGAGTGGCTGGTCATTCCCTGACTTCTGGGCGTTCGATCTCGGTGGTGACTTCTAACATGATTATACAGCGGAGACTATGTATGCACGCATAATCCCAATTACGTATAGTCCTGATAATGCGAGCGAGAAGGGAACAGTCTGATGATATGGAAGCAACTTTCAAGGATGACTAGCAATTGGCCAGAGCCAGAGCGGCTTGACGACGTGATTGCGTATGCGGTATGATTCCCTTGATTCTTAGCACTCTCGTATGGCTGACTGGACGGGATTGTTGCAGGAAATATATGCTTTTCGACGAAGGTCCATCAAGGCAACTAGTACCTAAAGCATGCAGAGCTAACAAGCAGCAACAACATGGGGACACTACGCGTCAAGAGGAAATTTTGTATTCCATTACACTAGGCTATCTGGAACAGATGAGATCTTTTAGTGAAATAGGAAAGCTGAGTAAGACGAGTCCTATAACAGCGGAGCTTCCGATGATTAGAATTGATATCGAAGTTAGTGGAAGTTTAATTCAGTCTGACGCCTCTCGAAAAGGGTAACCAGAAAGCCTCAAGCTTTCATTTAAGTCACTAGTCAGTTATACATTCCGACTATGTAGATGCTATGGTATAATCGAGACGCATGCTGCAGATCAACGTCCTGGCATTTAGGGTTTGCTGTGACCTTTTTCTTTCCAAAAGCTTCTGCAACATCCTCGAATTGTTTGCTTTTTCCATGTTGCTCGGGCAGATGAACTTACCCGTCGCCTAGGCGCGATGTACTTTGAAGCGGACATCGGCTCATGGCCTGCGCAAGATGAAAACGGACCCTGAACGTTCGAACAAGATATCTTCTACTTTGGGTCCACTTTCTGGTGGTTTCGGTGGCCAAAGGATGATATTGGGAAGTTCTGGTTCAGGGAATATCTCGATAGGTATATACCAGGCCAGCGGCTTTGGAATCACTCTATCCTTTTTCTTGCGCTTATCGGGTTTTGGCACCAGACGTGGCACAAGGTCGTCGTCTAACGCTCCAGGCATTTTTTGTCGATGATCCTTCCCTATCAAACCCTTCAGTAATTTCATGTTCCAACGTGATCGGTGACAACAGAATCTCCAGGCTCAGAGAGGAAGACGCCAGACGAAGTATTTTAATTCCAACCAGAGTCGCAGTATGTGGGAACAATGTAATACACTGAGCGAGGCACAACGTTGTATGTTCGGGCAACTTCACAATGTGGACGTATAATATGGAACAATTAGTCGGCCGTAGTCCCTTGAAGACAACCATTCTTAGTCAGAGCCATACCTCGTATATCTTTGCTGAATACGATGAGTCCCTATACTGACAAGGGCAACACGGGAATGAGAATTAAACGTGTGAGCTGCTTGAACCCAAGTATCGATTGCATCGCATTTTCTGATTGGAAAACATGAAAACTATCTGTCACGCACATAACACACTACAAATCACAGCCATTTGTTTCAAACTTCTATCATCGATCCCAATCATTTATGCACACCTGTTTGGTTGTGTGCGTTCTTCAGTCCGGTACAATCAGTACAGTTAGTACAACTATAACTGTCAGCCTTCTCTGCGCCATTCCAATCCCTGGTCTCACTGAGCAGGCGCATATGATGCTACGTACTTTATGCAGTCGGTACAGTCAGTACAATTGCGACATCCCTCACAATTATCGCAGCCGGTGCAATTCTGGCAGTAACTGCTACTTTCGCAATCCGTGCAATTCTGACAGTATGTAGAGTCTTTACAGCGCGTACAATTACGACACCCAGTACAGTCTGTACGCAAATTAGTCCGCGGTTGTAGGAGGTGTTTGATAGCAGGAATTGGTCAAGGTGACCGAAGAGACAGATGATTTCCAAGAAGGTGGCATGGAAAAGCCCATACTTTTGCAACCGATACAATTGTGGCACGACGTGTCCTTGCTACAATCGATACAGTTCTTACAATATGAGCAGTCTGAGTAGATAAGCCGCACTCAAATCCCAAGATGTACTGATCATGAGGGCAAGAGTAGGTTGATCACGCCATAACGTGCGGCGTATGGGGCGTGGGATCATGGAATTATGGAAACGCCATTGCTGAGGGCGTACCTTTGCAATCTGTACAGTTTCGGCCTACAATCGTTGATGTGGAGTTAGACTTGAAGTTTTTCGAAGCATGCTACAAACTTACAGTCCTTGCAGCCAGTACAGTTGGTGTTATTATGATTACCGTCGCCAGAGCCCGAGGAAGGTACTGCGCGGAGTGACGATTCACCACAACCCATGTTGAACGTACTTTCTGGGCTTACAATGAGAGAATAAGAGTTCAATAAGACTACGAAGTAGCTTTAGGAGGAAAAGACGTATGGATATGCATAACTTGTTCCCCAGTTTATAGGTGAGGGGACGTGACGGGAAGGGCATGCAGCCACGACGTCATTTCTGACATGCATAGGTATGATAAGCTTGAAAGGCCATTGGTACCGATAAGGCGCCCTTCAACATCAACCTGATATATGATTTACCGATTGGAAACTTGTTAAGATTGTTTAGGCCCTAGCGCCTGAACTAATTACACATTGTGGCTCGAAGGTATAACAGATATTCCTTTGGTGGCGCATCTAGATGACGCCATTAGGCCCGCTGTCTATCGTTTTGGAATTCTTCGAACAAAGATCGCGGGAATGCGGAGTATCTCAGGATCAGGCGTGTTTGTTACGAACTCCGATTTCGTCGACAAGACCACTACAGTTAGAGCAACCAACACATGACCGACAATCATTGCATCTCGAGCAGTCCACCAAATCCGTAGAGTTAGTACAACGACTAGAATTGACGCAATCAGTACAGTCATCGAGCCGACTGGAGTTGACGCAGCCTGTGCAGTTGGTGAGTCTGCTTGAGTTGATGCAACCTGTTGACCTTTCCATTCGACTGCACCCAACATTATTATCGTCCAAGCTTGGAGCTGGTCTTTCCTGAGGCCCAGATGGAGGGGCAGACTGTTGCTGAGGTGGTATTACAGGACTTTGGTGAGGTCGAAGCCTACGAGGTATTTGTGCATCCTGATGGGATGATCGCGGCCGATGATGATCAGGAGGAGAATTTTCTGGCGGTCTCCGTGAATATGCTTCGATTGGATTCTGGTATCCATGATCTTGGAGACCTGTAGGTGAGCCAGCAGCAGATGCTTGTGAAGGTTCAGTTCGATGGAAAGGCCGGACAAGAGGAGTCGAAGGTGCCGTAGACCGATAATCAGGCGCAGGGCTGTATGCTGGAGGAGGTCCAAGCAATTCTGACGAGGCGTCGTTTGGAATGCCAGGACGACCTTGATGATCAGGATAAAGCCCAGCAGGAGGTGGTGTGCCATCGACGCGAGCGCGCTTCCGGGCTGTGTGATATATCAGTCATGCGTCTTAGTTGCTACAATGGCCGTGAATTGAGATAAACGATACACACATACAGTTTTGCTCAGCCATACCGTGAGCTGTGTCGTATAGCCTGGTTGGTCACTTGAAATAGCGGTAGTGGCAAGTCCGTCATAGATGAACATACAAAGGTCCTTCATTAAAGTACACACAAGCATAATCGGACAAACGCAAGTTGTTGTGACACCAGACATCAACTTGCGCGTCAGCAAACCCTGAGAGGATAATTCAAGCAAACCGAAGTAGATGGAATAGCTCTCGAAAGCCAGGAATAGGTTTTCAAGACGTCGTATGGAAACTGGTCTGTCGGTGTTGATCTTGTCGTTCTCAAATCCTGTCCCGTGTCGAAACCTAAATTCCGATTCCCATTTATGTTTCGCTGCACCTCGAACAATGTACTTCTCATCAAGGGCCCATAAGGCTGTACGAGATATCATAGGCGAAGGACTGTTGTGGCGTGGTCGCTACGGCTTCCCATTGTTGGAAAATCAAGTCAGCCACTTCGTCTTTGTACCTAGGTAGTTTAGCGGTAGTCTCGCAATTCGCTGCATGGGGCAATGATGTGCTGTTTCCTTATTTCCGTGACGTGCTCAACAAAATCAACCGTCACCCTTTGCAATCTCTGCCCATCGCGACGTGCAATGCCGCTTCGAACCTGTCTCGTTCTTTATGCTTGCTTGTAATCACGAATAGCAAGTTACAATGACGGACCGAAGTGTCGACGCAGAAAAGCATGCAGACCGGGAAGACCATCCCACCACAAAGACTGTAGATGATGTGCAGCGCAACCTACAGACATGGCCGAGCGCGCACGACGTCGAGATACAAGAAGCCACATTGGACGTCGGAGCCGAAAATCAAGCAGCGCAAAATCCGCAGGTTAAGTCACATCAACCTGCTCTTACACGCATGCTCTCGCGCCGCTCGGCAGCATCGCTTGATCCCGGTCCAGCTCCTGACGGTGGCCTCACAGCTTGGATCCAGGTCCTCTGCACCCACCTGACAATTTTAACCACCTTTGGTTTCTTTACATCATTCGGCGTATACCAAACGTACTACGAAAACACACTCGGAATCTCGCCTTCGACGATATCATGGATTGGTTCCCTCCAGGTCTTCCTGCTTTTCTTCCTTGGTACTTTTACAGGCCGTGCTACGGATGCTGGTCTCTTCCGCCCAGTTTATATCGCTGGCGCATGCTTCCAGATACTTGGCATCTTCACGTTGGCCGAGAGCAAAAGCGTGTGGCACGTCTTTCTCTCCCAGGGCGTGTGTCTAGGCATTGCAAACGGGCTGCAGTTTTGCCCTTCGATGGCCCTGGTATCTACCTACTTTGTCAAGCGTCGTGCCTTTGCGCTCGGCTTCACAGCGCTCGGATCCTGCACTGGCGGTGTCATCTTCCCAGTTATTGTGCAACAATGCTTGCCTAGCTTAGGCTTCCCGTGGACTATACGTATCATTGGCTTCATTATGCTGCTCATGAACGCCATTACCATTGCCTTGTATCGTACACGGCTCCCACCTAGGAAGACTGGCCCGCTAGTGGATTGGGCAAGCTTCAAGGAATTACCCTATGCACTGTACTGCGCTGGCGCCTTTTTCAGTTTCTGGGGCTTATATTTCGCTTTCTTCTACATTGGGAGTTACGCGCGGAATGTCCTTGGCGCCAGTTACCAGCAGAGTATCAACCTGCTTCTCGTGCAGGTTTGCATGGGGTTTGTCTTTCGCCTATTACCTACGTATTATGCTGATAAGATTGGGGGCCTCAACGTTCTTATACCTTTCGCTTTCATCTGTGGTGTCATGATGTTCGCATGGATTGGGATCAAGTCCATAGCTACCTTGTACGTATTTGCTGTCATATACGGAAGTGGAAGCGCCGTTATACAGGCACTTTGGCCGGCCGTGATCGGCAGTATGAGCCGTGAGAAGGACCTGAAAAAGTCAGGTGTGAGGATGGGAATGGCTTTTACCGTCGTGAGCGTGTCAAGTTTCACAGGGCCACCGCTAGCTGGCGCCCTCATCCAAAGTCACAACGGTAGTTATACGTACGCAAATGTCTGGGCGGGTATGTCGTTCATCGTTGGAGGCTGTCTACTACTGGCTACCAGGGTATCTCTGGTGGGCTGGGACTGGAAGGCAAAAGTATAGTGATGGTAGATCTAGTTAAGTTCTTTTTAGACTTTCCGCTCTTTACTCTTTTCTTCTGTTCCTTTCCACCTAGGCTCTGAATCTGCTGCTGTCTTTCTTCTTCCTATTTCTACAAGGTGATGTTATTCACAGAAACGCCCCTTCCTGCCGAAACTAACACATGTGCTTCATACGATCTACAGATCAGTGAGATTCTCAACCTTTGTCATCGTGGAAAGACTTGTGTGCCACGTTCGAGAAAGTTATGCCTTGCTTACTTATTGCTCTGGAAACCGTGCTTGAACTATCAGCCCTTCTTGTCACCTAAAGTAGTGACCCTTGCTAGCAAACCAGGCTGTTCTCTCTCCTTGGTCATTTTTGCATGCCAGTCCGCCTCAACCTTGGCTGAATTCTTCTTGACTCGCGCTGTATTCCATCTCATATAATAGCAGCAGAGTGGGAAAAGGACAGTATCTGCCATAACCCAAGCGAATAGAATGCCAAAATTTAAGCCGACGCGCGGATGTAGATCGAACAAGATGGATCGTGTGAGCTCTACGACGTTGTGCATAGGCCATCCATAACCCCAGCGATAAAAGCCTGGAGCTAGCTCAAGGGCGTAGAAGCCAGTTGCTACATTGCTGATAACCCAGAAAATCAACCACAAGGCTGTCCAAGGAGTTCCCAGAAGCATAGCCATATTCTCGCTGGCCAAACCAAACGCGATCATACCGATCCAGTTGCCCATCCAATATACCAAGAAGGTGCCGCTGCCGTATGCGTTGGGATTATCGGCAGGTTGATCGTGGGCTGCTTTGGGCCGGTCCATAGGCATGAGAAAGGCGAGGCTGACGAAAGAATAGACGAGTGAAAGCAGAAAGTAAGATGCGACAGTTGCAACGTAGCGCCACACGATGAGCTGGTAGAAGTGCAGCGGTGGATGACCTCTAGGTGTGAGGTACTTTAGATGAATGGGTAGAAAGAACGTAAAGCTGAAAAAGGAGATGATGACTAGATATCGTCGATTGAGTCAGCGTATGTTTCGAGTGTTGTTTTTACGAGGAAATCACTAACTTAAGTAGATCAGGCCTATACTGACCGCGGGTGTCGCGATAGGTGGTCCAAAGGGACGCAGATCATAGACTGTGAATTCGATGCCCGGGGTAAGAGCTTGGGGCGAAACGTCGACGTGCATGTCGATAACTGAAACGTTGTTCTCGAGGAGATGTGCGATCCACGCGCGACCGAAATCAGTCACGACACGCTTTTGGAGCGTGTTCATACTGGGTACGATATAAGTCGAGAACGTAGTCTGATCACGCGCAGAGTTATAAGTGATCTGGCAAGCGCCCAACGGATCGTAACTCGTGTTGCCCTGCCTCACTGCAGCCTCGAGCATTGCTGTTGCATTGGGGTTGATCACGACGGCTGCCCAGGCGTGGAAGTCGTAAACACTGTCTCGTACTTTGAGTGGATCGTTGTCAAAGTCCCCGGGTGGAGCAAAAGTATAACCCGGCACCACACCACCGTCATCAACGATGTTGCGAATGGCCTGAGTAACGAATGGACCGACGAAAGGTGTGATTTCTGTATAAGGCGGTTGACCGTCGAAGTCGACAACCCAGACGCTCAGGTTTGTAACATTCGCCTTCTGACGGAACAAAGCACCCCAAAAGAGACACAAGAAAATCATGATGGCGACGGCGAGGATCAGGTTGGTGCGGAGCCAGAGTTTGATGACGTGTAGTCTGACACCAGCCATGGACGAGTGGAAGAATCCAACAGGCTTCTGATCGAATTCGATTCGGCGGCTGCTCTTCGTGCGGTCACGCTGTAGTACCGTCGGCCTTACTAAAGCAGAGTTGATGGCGTGGTTCGTCTCGCGCTCGAAGGGGGCGGCCTGCTGCTGTACGCGAGCGGAGTCGGTTGTTGTGAGCACATGCTCTCCAATGTCTGACTCGTTGGACGAGCTGGAGTCATATCCGTGGTGATACTGCGGAGCAATCTGGCAACCAAGCATGGGATTAGACATTTTGAGCGCCGTAAGGATTTACAGACGACGCTTCAGTTGTTCTTAATATGTCCTGAGGCCGTGGCCGTTAGTGCTGCTGAGGGTTGCTGACTGATCACTCTAAACTCACTAGTGTCTAAGTTTTGCCCATGAACAATGCTTGGTCATCGCCAGGGCTGACTTAGCCACTGATATCTGTGCCAGATGGTACGCTGGAATGACAAACGACTTACCAAAGGACTTGCTAAACGAAAGGGGGACTGGAATCATGGGAGGCGCCTCAGCTGTCGCATGAGCACCTACCTTCACCCAAGCATCTGCCTTCGCCTAGGCATCTGCTGCTGCCTGAGCTTCTACCAAGCTGTTAGCACGAACGGCGAATTGCTAATGCAATGTCGCTCCTCATCTTGAGCCCCCAATGGTCGCTCAGGTTGTCCCTCACGAAGCATTAGGATGTAAAGGTAAAAGGATCAATAGACGTAGAGCAAATGAGAGTAGAGCAGAAATAAAACTGAAGTGGAGTAGAAGGTAAGAGAGTCAAAGTTGTCTGCTTTTGGGTTCAAGTACGAGGTGGGAGTGCTCAAGGATGAGAGAGATTCGCGAGGTAACGCAGACTCATGCGAGAGCGTTTGTGAGGCGACGTACACTACATTAAGGTTACCATCCAACGATGTTCCGTCCCTGCTCAATTGCCTTTCAATTCATTACATTGAGCGTGTAGTAGAGATGGAAGTATTGCTCGAGTGGCGGGTTATACGGGTTGCACTCCAAGTTTGGCTGACATAAGCCCCGTTGAACGGAGGGAAACAACTGGCCGCGGTTTCGCGACGCAATACGCGCCCCATGCCCACTGCGCAACGCTCGTTATGACGGACACCTATACATGTGGCAACCTTCGCATTTGCACAGTACCTAACCGTCGGTACTTACTGCTCTACGCATTTACAAAAAAGGGGGCATGTTGGATAGAGAACCCAGGGGTGGTCGCGGCTTCCGACGCGGCAAAGGACTGGGTAGAGGCAAGACACAGATAGTACGATACAGCCAAGTCGCGGGAAACATCGCTAAGTTGTATCGCAGTGGGAGTGGGAATCATACACACCTGGCGCTGAAGTCTACGAACAGCTATGGCGCGTTCGCAAGGAGCCTGCAATCGTTACCGCACGGCTTCCTGACGACTGCCCCATACCGAATGCGCGAACACGAATACTCTACCGTCGGCAGACCGAGGATGCTATAAAGCGAGAGCGATACGCTGTAGAGATAACACACATCAGCCAACCTGAAAACAGACATGATAGCATTGATCGCACGGAGGTTGAGGATGTGGACTTTACACGTATCATGCAGTACGTGTCTCCGGCCGAACTGGAGCGCTATGAAACAGAGCAGTTCAGACTCGAGGCAGAGGCCGAGGCAGTCGCGATACGCACAGAAGCTGAGGATCTAGCACGTCGACAACTGCATAAGAATACAAAGCTACCAAGCAACAACAGAGGAAGTCGTATGCTCAGTGGGCTGGAACTTCCTGTCATTTTGCCCACAAGAGCTAGAGGTAGGCTCAGAAGAAGTCGCGGAAGAGGTAGGAGAAGAACGAGAGATCTGGTATTCGATTCTCGGCAGCTTGAGGATGAGACACATGAAGAGTTGGTGGACAGCGAGACTCATTGCCTAACCGACTACACTAGACAGCCAATTCAGACATCTTCCGGTGTGGCCCGTTCAGCCTTTGTTGCCAACAGCGCCCTGCCTGTATCATCAATACCAACGAGACTTTCTACTTCTCTTCCTCAGCAGGGACATACAGGGCTTTCGGATCCGAATAAGGACGTGGGCCTAGCCCGGGCTAGCCGCGATGCAAAGCCTCTGTCCAACACCTCAGACGACATGCTTCTACACACACCGCTTCTCTTTGATCAGTCGTCGACTACAGTGTCTAACTCAGATGACACTATACCTGCACATCCGCCGCCGCATCACGAATCCAATGACGACGTGGACAACGATACTATACACATGCACACAGTGTCGTCAGACAGCCATTCACTTGAGTATAGCACGAAAGACGAGGAAGATGCAGAGGGCGCAGAAGAGTACGTGGTTGAAGCCATCGTTAATCACTTTCAGGAGGATAGGAAGAAGTACTACCTCGTCAAATGGGATGGATATGAAGATAGTCACGATTGGCTTCCCGAAGAAGATCTTGAGGGTGCGGCGGATTTGGTCGCTGAATACAACGAGCGACTTGGAGGCAAAAACAAAAAAGTAAAGTTGAGATAGTGTGAGCTGCGATTGAAACTCCACTTCCATCTCCACCGCGACGTCTTAGTGCGGCGACGAGAACATCGATCTTTTCAGTTTTCATGGCAAGCATGAAGGACTCACAGTTCACTCCGCTGTAAACCCCTATCGTCGCAAATGCTCTATGTCTGTGTTCAATGCAGATGTATCAATGCTCTTCGCGGACATATGCTATCGTTGACAGAATTGATCTTCAAATCACTTTTCATATTGTCTCTTACAATCACCCGTCTTCTCTTCTTATTTGTTTTTTAGCTTTTGAAAGTGAACGTCATGGTGACCCAGTCGTGCGTCGATGATCCATGCCATTGTAATCACATCCTAGCAGACATACCCGTGGAACATGTGTACAGAAGAATCTCCGAATGATTTATTCTACATGCGTGATCATCATATCTTCACTGGGTCTCAGTGTACATGTTGTATACAGAAATAAAATTGATGACAAGATTAATAATACAGGTGAAAGTTCTCGAGAAAGTAATATTCGCGGACGACGCCTGCGTCTGTTATGTTCGTTGCAAGGTCGTTTGGTTGCGATCGACACGATGACATGGCTGGAACAGAGCTTCACCTGTGTGTCTTAAGCATCTTGCCTGCACGCTTGACTGTGTGGGTCAAATCAGAAGCCAGGCTCTGCTTTCTTTTGCCAGTTGTCTTAGTGCGTGAACTTTCTTCCGGGCCTGTAATGTGCCATTCCTGCGTCAACTGAGTGGAAATTTCCTTATCGTCTTGGATCATATACTCCAACATATCCTCCGATATATCCTCTCCGACTTCCGCTTTTGAGGGCTGTTGTGAGAGTTGAGTGGAAATTTCCTCATCGTCTTGGAACATATCCTCTGGTATATCCTGTCCGACTTCCGCTTTTGAAGGCTGCTGTAAGAGTTGAGTGGCTATCTCTTTGTCGTCTTCGAGAGATGCACCAATATCGTCTAGCACTTGAGCCGGCATTACAGAAGAAGTAGGCTCAATTTTGACGTTGGTAGAGGGTTTTTCTGAGCCAGACTCCGATAGTGGTGGGCTCAATGGAGGGTGATCAAGACTGGATTGGTAATTGCCGACGGGAGGAACCATGTGTGAGTCGTTGGACATTTCTGGTTTGACGAACTTGTTCCCAGGACGAGGTGATAGAAGCAAAGCTGAATCTTTCCGCGCCCTAGATTCTTGCCGCGAACCATTGACCTGACGGTCTCGGCGTGGTTTAGACGGTAGTCGTCGCAATTCCTGCAAATCCTGCAGAAAAGGGCATAAGAATTCGCTCTTCTTTGCGTATTTTAGATAAATTGGGTTTTCCCTTGTGTAGTCGCGGAAGATGAGTGGATCCGAGAAGGTTCTGATTGTTTCTCCCGTACGGAACACATCAACGAAATCTAGAATGTTGACGTACGGTGGATCTTTTAGTTCGTCTATACACTCTTGGATGAGGCTGTGTGCCCTCTTCCCTGTCTGTTCACACACTCTTTGGTATATGAGTAACTTTTGGCCATCATCCAGGCGAATTTGGCCCCTGGGATGGTTCACTTGCCGATAATGGAGGCCTTCGGGAAGGTAATGATATATAATCTCGTCGCGAATCGCATCGACACAGGCTTCATTCTTTCTTTTCCGGTTGAGCCCTTGGGAGCTTGCAAATAGGCCAAATTATTGCTTAAACGAATTAGACGGCTGCGGTATGAAGCTGCCCTGCTTTATAAAGGCGCGATTGAATACTCGTATGTCGTCATCTGGTACACGGCCGACGTCGAGCATATGCTCTACGGCGAACTTCAGGTTAGGGAACGTCTTGACCTTGGAGCCTGGAAAGCCGATGACTTGCTGCTGTGCCTCTTCAAAGGAGTTGTACAAGCCAGGCCTTTTGCCTCGAGTCACAGCGTGGTACTTTTTAACCATGATGACAGGCAGGAATAAGCGTCATTGCTATATTGGGATGGAGAGTATGTATGAAGGATGCGATATCGCGCTGCAAACGCGTCGCAAGGCGTCAAGAGTATATATGGATAGAAGTTATGAGAAGGCAGAAATGACACGTTGGCACAGTTCGAGTCAGATGCGGTTTCGTGTCGTCAGGGTGTAGATGCTTTTGCGGGACGAGCAAGGGGGCGCGCATCGCTTTGCGCGGAACCGAGGCATTCTGAACTACCGGTAGTGAAGTGACACATGAACACGGCCTCTTCAGCACGCTGCAACAACATAGACATGAACATGGCCTCTCCAACACGCTACGCCTACCCCTTCGCCGCTTCCCCTGACATCATCCGGTCACACCAGAAAGACGCCTACTTCTCTGGTGTGCTGCTGGACCAGCTATCGACACTCTTGCGCAAGCTCTATGGCGCGCGCATCGCGCACACGTACGCATCCGAGACGCGAGTCCTCGGAGAGCTACTCTATCTCGGTCTCACCACACTGATAGGAAACCGGACACTAGGCGAAGAATACACAGATATTGTTCAGGTGGAGAGCGAAAGCGGACGACTGCCGGCTCTGGGACGGAGAGCGGGATACATACTAAGCTGCATATTGGGGCCATATCTGCTTGGAAGAGCATTGCCAGCCTTTAGACGAAGAGTGCGCGCAAAACTCGAGGCGAATCTGCGATGGTACGCGCGACAGCAAGCACGAGCACAGCAAGAGGCACAGGAGAATGGGAGCAAAGCACGGATAGGACGGCCTCTTGGTATGCGCCTGCAGAACTACATACTCGAAAACCTCGATACCATCACGTCGCCGTCGCCCGTCTACGCCCTCTCTCTGGCGACATTCTACTTTTCCGGGAGTTACTACCACCTCTCGAAGCGCATATGGGGCCTAAGATACATCTTCACGCGACAGGTGCCCGAGGGCGATAACCGCGCTGGCTACGAAGTCCTGGGTGTGCTACTAGTGTTACAAATGGCGGTACAGGCATATCTACATTTACACAATACTGTCACATCGTCGACGGCGGCGGCGGGTGGTGGCCATCCGCAAGGCACGTCAGCCATTGTAGGTGGCGGTGCGGAAGTCTCCCTGGACCCCAATGCCTACAGCGCCAACAACGCGTTGCTGTTCGACGCGGCATCTGCCCTCCCTACAGCGGCGCCATCGGACGTACAAAAGTGGACACACACACCTGCGTTGGAAAAAGCAAGATATGAGCTGGAGAACGAGGAGACAATGGGATGGATTGGTGGTGGCAATCGGAAATGCACGCTTTGCCTGGAAGAGATGAAGGATCCGAGTGTGACGACGTGTGGGCATGTCTTCTGTTGGACGTGTATAGGGGACTGGGCGCGGGAAAAGCCCGAATGTCCACTCTGCAGGCAGACGTGTCTAGTGCAGCATGTGCTCCCGCTCCGAGGGTAGATGGGCGGCATGTAGAATTACAATATCTTCTCGGCCTCATCAATCAGTCGCTCTACCTGAAATGCGCTGTCTCCACGAGTGAACATGTTGAGCAGTTCGCTGCGTCCCTTGCCCTCTTCCGTCTGCACGTAGAACTTCTGCATGCACATGACGAGCCATCTGGCCTCGTCAACGCTCACGCCTCTGTTCTCGATGACCAGGCCCTGGCCCAGAACCAGGTTGTGGCTCTCGGCGAGCTCCTGGTGGAATGTGATGGTGGTGTGCGGACTCGCGAACTCGCCTCTCAGCTTGAATTCTGCCAGCGTTGTGAACATCAGCGTGGTGGTGTCAAGGTGCGGGTGGGAGAACTGTAGATAGTGTAGCTCGGCAGCCTGCTGCGTCTGGGGCTGTTCCGGTGACGCGGACGAGGCATCGGCGGGTATCTCGCGGGGGACGGGGAGCACGAAGGAGGGGTGTTGCTTTGCGCTGCGGAGGAGTTGGGCAAAGGTCGTGGCCGGAACAGCGAAATGGACGCTCTGTGGATTGGCAGCGTGCCGTAGGCGCCACAGGGCCTGGACTTCTTTCTCGGGGAGAGTCTTGACTTTGTCGAGGTCGAGGAAGGAATTGAGCGTCTTGACGCCTGGCGGGGGCGCGGAGGGAGAGCCTGAAGCAGAGGGCGGCGGAGGAGGCGACGGCCAAGGGCTCTTTGGTTGCTGTTGGTGTTGGGATTGTGGGGTTGTAGCTGTGGTTGTGGTTGTTTCTGGTGGCGGCGTCAATGGACCGGTTGCGCCGGGCACAATGGCCTGCTTCCTCAGCTCCTCGATCTTGTCCTTGTACTGCTCCTTGAGCTCGTCGAGGTCCTTGAGGCCCTTTTCGCGCGCCTTGTGCTCGAGCTTCTCCTTGTACTTGGCGAGGATGCGCTCCTGGGAGTCGTGTGTGACGAGAAAGCGCACATCCTGGACGCGGGCAAAGCGGCGTTGGGTAGCGCGGGGGTTGACGAGGGGCTGGCGCAGAGCATGGCGCAGCGTGGGGATGCGCAACGGCATGTTGGATGTACTGTGGACAAGTTTTGAGGCGGCGGTGGTACATGCGGCTTTTGCAATGGGGACGGAATGCACTAAAGAAGCGGGGCCCAAATGCAGGGACGGGAACGTTTACCTAGGCGGCATGGGCTGCTTTGTCTACTGCACTACGCTTCTGTAACGTTGTATCCTACCCGACATATCTACCCCATATCCACCCCATATCGTATACCCGTAGTCTCGTCTGCCCGCGCCCGTCATCCATGCAGAACCCGCCCTCGCTGCACACGAC